GGCAGTCAGTCCCGAGAGCCAGTTGCCGGTTGTTGGTTGTTTGTTGTCGGCTGCCTGGCTGCCTGACTTCCTCAACTCAAAGTAATTAAGCCGAAAAAGTATCTCGTATCCATGAGAAATCCACTGGAGCCACGCTGTAACGGCTGTGGCAGTAACCGAGCTTTTGTATTATTCTGTATCTGCATCTCGAGAGTTGCTCTCTTGACGCATTTGCATGCTTATTACTTATTCTTTATGCCATTTGTTTGTTTGCTCTCATTTTGGCCATATCCTCCACGTCCTTTTTTGGTCCTGACTTTGGCTGCTCGTTCTGGATTCGACTCCTCGTCTCTTGTCATAATTCTGAGCATTTAACATGTTTCTCTTGTCCAAATTGTCAGAGTTGTCAACTTGTTTATTGCATTTCAGTTTGTCATATAAGCCAGAGCGATGTGGGTGCTTTCCGGGGAAATGGTAGAAGTGTAGATAGTTGATGGGAAATGGAAATGGGAAAATGGGGAAACTGGGGGCGGCGCTTTGGGCCGCAAAACACTTGGATGGACAAGCTTACGGCTCCCCCAACGCACCGAAAGTTTTCATTGACGTTGATGAAGTTGTAGCTGCTGTAGCCTTTTGTGGCTTTTGCATTTTATAGAAACTGTCAAATAATAAAGCTAATTTGCATATTTTCCGCAGGACAGCGTTGGCGTTTTCTTTTCTCCGCTCTTGGAAAACTATGTATGAGTCAGATTTCAGTGTTCAGTGTTCAGTTTTTCCGTTTATCTCCGGCTGCAGGCGACTGCTGGCATTTTAAGGATGCTCCGCATTCCTCGGGACTTCATATATGAATTCGACTTATTTTTTCATCACTGTTATCTGCCTGCCTTAATAATGAACCCCCACTGGGCGGAAAAAGGATCTTTATGATGGCAAAATGACAGACACAAGTTGAGAGATGAGACTACATTTTAATTACACTCCTCACTCATGAAAACTTATCCTGGCTATTTGACCATATAAAAACTGATTTATGAAGCATTGGACGTTTTTTGAAAATTGAATTTATCACACCGGCTCTTGTTATCATTTAAAATTGTTTAAATATTGTCTTTTATACATTTTGTCCGCAAATAAGCTGTGCATATATAGCGCAAACATCAACAAACCCATCAGTGGCACCATCGACACATTCGCTAAAAGAACTCCTGAGAGCACAACTATTGGTTTTGTGCCGCACACAAAATCGGCGGCAACAACAAAGGCAACTAGAGCAATAAAAATAACAATAATAATAATAATAATACAAAACAGCGGCAACAGCAGCGAAACAAAAGCACTTGTTGGGCAACATGTTTCTAATAAACTAAATTTGCATTGTTATTATATATTGTGCACTAATTTGAGTTTTTCAGAAGGCGTTTTTGGTCATTTTTACAGCGTAGCTATTAGTGGTCTTAATTAAATAATATTAAATTTCAAAGCTTTAATAATAATTCGCTAGAACAATTGTTTTTGGATTAGGTAGTTTGTTTAGAAGAAGTTGGTTAAATTGTGCCTTATTTCTCTTAGCTAAAAGTGAGAATTTAAGCATAGAAACCCAATTAAAATTATTATCCAATGATAAAAAATGGAATAGTAAAAATAAATATCAGACTACTGACTGTATGAAAATCAATGGAAAACCATAAAAATTGAATAAAAAATAATTGGATTTACTTCGTTTGGTTTAACCAGTGTTCAAACAGTTTTTGTAGCTTAAGTTTTATAGCTTAATTAATCAAATGCCATTAATCTAAAATATTGTGGACTTTATATACTCTAATTGTATTTTATATAGAACTCAGATACTCAGATACCAACTAATCTCTATTCATACTCTCAAATATAACATTTTGGGTGCGGAAGTTATGACTTGTTCCCATTGCATTTTCGGTGGCAGTCAATTGGTTATTAGCCCGCATATAAATCAAAGCAGCCGCAAATAAAATACATATTTTAAACAAAACCAAATGGGTTTTCGATGGCCATTTCATCGGCGTGCATTGTTTACGAGTTTAATTTTGCATATGCCCCGGCGACACGCCCCCAAGTGCCCCCTTTCACCATCCGCCCATCCGCAGTGGCCACAAGGAAATTTCTGTTGCGGCATTAATTTTTGTGGTCAGTCGACAATGGGCGAGCAATCGAAGGTGGTAACAGGTAGTCGGTAAAGGGGGATGGTGAGCGGTGAAAGGGGGGCGGTACAGGTGCGGTATCTGGGCGTGGCGGGCGTTTAATTGAGGTCACTCGTCGCGGGCTGGAAAGTGGCCGCACAAGCCACCATAAGAAGCAGAAGTGACCTGTTTACCCAAAAGACGAACTTAAAGATACAAAACGAGAGAGAGTGAGATAAATTCCAGCGAAGCGAAGTCCAATACAAAAGCTGCGGCGCGAGGGAGAGGGATGGTGCGATGGCGATGACGTGCGTGGTAAAAGTAATGCCTCGCAGGCAGTTACGTCACATGTATCTATCAGATACTCGCACGTATGCTCGATCGCAAGCGCACACTGGTTCCGTCTTAAACAAAAGTTACTTATATTTTAATTAGTAATAATATACACTTCTACATAATTTTTTTTAAGATAAAAATAAAAACAACTATTTTAACAATTTTATACACTGGTGAAAAAACTAGTAAATACAAATAATTGTCACTCAATTTACATACTTTTCACTTTGATTTTTATACATTGAAGTTCTTTTATACCTGAAAGTGTAAGTTAAATTTGAGCCACGCTAAAATTAAACCAAATGCATTTAAATCAAATATGCAATTTAATATTAATTGTATTTAATAATATGGTTCTTCTACAAATAAACCGCAATCTTGGGACTTTTAGAAATAATATTTTGTAAACAATAGAAAGACACACGAAAATAAGTACAGCCAAAAAAATGTTATAGGTCATGAGTACTTCATAAATATATGATAAGCCACTTTATTTGTTGACAATCATCAGCAGAATAAAATATTATTCGAGCATGAAAACTTGTATAAAAAACATTTGGTAGATTTGAAAGGCTTTGTATTATTTATAAATGGTACCAATCATAATTATAAATTATTGTATTATTATAATTGAAAATGTGTTCTTTATATAAATAGATATATTTAAAATTATATCTTTGATCTCTAGTGGATCCACTGTTCAGCGGAGCGGGTTTCGCATTGTTCTGTTGTTTCTATTGTTTTTGGGGTATGAGAAGCCAAACTTACAAATTGAGATACATGACCCTAGATGCATTTGAGATATGGAAGCGGATACAAATACAGAACAAATGTTATATGCTTAATTCCTAAGGTGCTAAAATAGTGTTTAGAAATGTATTTTATTCCCCTAAAGAGGCTACTAAAAAGTTTATCCAAAATGTTCCATCAAATAAGCAAATGGTATAACCGTTTCACGAATTACTGTCATCACCTTTATGTTCAGTAAACTCCAAACTGGTCGAACTAAGTTGCATTATTTCTGCGTACACCCCAAGATACAGACACAAAATGGAAGGGCTTGAGAAAGCTGTCTGGCTTACTGATTAACATTAACCTTGTTACTTTTGCCGCAATAAAGTTGTGACATTTGCGTGCGTGAGATCCAAATAAAGGGCGGTCCATCCATCTTGTTATCTACAAGTACGCATTTGTATCTTTGTATCTCCATCTGCATCGCCATCAGCATCTGCAGCAGGTGATGACATCACTTGTGTAATTTTTTGTGTGCAGCGGGTATAGTGTGTAGAGTGTGTAGTGGAGTAGACATGACAAGCGGATTTGCATCAAAAACGTGCAACAAATTTACAAGATAATCAACGCAGAGCGACGATGAGCACATAACGAGATACACGTACCGACAGATGCTCACTCGAGTCAGTTGCAAATGCAAATGGAAATCAAAATGAAAATAAAAATCAAAATGAAAATGTATATGTATATGTAAATATATATGTAAATGAACATTTCATATTTGTTTTCCAAGGGCCTGAGGGAAGCATTTCATGCTCGCTTTCGTCTGCTGCATTCAAATTGCGCTTGACCAGGCTCAAACCGGGCTCAATTCACTGGCCAGAAGCAGCTGTCGGGGCCAGTTAATTAAATGAAATTACATTTGGGAGCCATTTCGGCAGTTTTGAGTGTGCCAGCGCTAAAGGGACTTTCGCCTTTCGAGCTCATTGCAGGAGAAAGTGGATGGGGATGCCGATTCACATTCAGCATCAGCATCAGCTTCAGCTTCAGATTGAGTTCGAGATTGGGTGGAGATCATCTCGCCTCCTAGAATGTGATTTCTGAACCCAATCCATTAGCATAATGGCCAGAAATCAATTAGCAACTCGGACTCAATCAAAATGAAACACTTTTACTTTGCTTTCCGCGTTTCGCTTTAAACGATTAACAAATGAAGCTCCAAACCGAACCGAACTCAACAAAACAAACACCAACAAAAATCGTTTTTGATGTTTGTTTTATGCGCATAATTCGAAATTTATTTTATGTCTTATTAATTTTACATAAGCGCTTCCGCGTCTCTGGGAAAATAACTTGGGACGGCGGCAGATGGAGCAATTAACAGCAGAAGATGGAGTGGAAAAGTAAAAGTTGAAAAGGTTGCAGCTGCAGGTGGTGAGACTTTGCTGCCAATCGAGAAATGTGTCAACCGCCAGAAATTTGAATCTGACTGCGTGGGAGTTTTCGGCTGAGTTTTGCCAATCAACTTGTCAGACCAATCGAACAATCAAACAATCGAACAATAAAAATTCAAATAAAACCCCAGCATCGGCATGGGCATGGGCTGCTTCGATTTGGTTCACTTCACATCACGGCCCCCGTAACTTTCGTTAGAGTCTCACTCAACTTCTTTCTTTCTTATTTTTTCGTTGGGTGTGCTGGAAAGTTGAAATGCGAGATCTGAGCATCAACTGTCGTGTCATTTGGCTTTGTTGTCGTGCTGCCTGAAGAGCCATCAAATATCAAATCAAATTATATATGAATTTGTCACAAGTTGAAAGCGAAAGCCTCGTCGATCGCCACTCGATCGTGGCTCTATAAAGGTTTCCTTTGTTGCAGTCGACGGACGGCAGTCCCAGCATCAGCATCATCATCACTCGGCACTCGATTGTTTTGTAGAAGGACAGCTCTACGCAGAAATCCCAGATGTTGCGCATACGCAGTGTGGACCACGTGCTACTGCTCGTGCTAGTGGCAATCGTCTTGGTCACCGCGAAACAGGAAACTGCAGGTGAGTAGGTGGAAAAAAAGCACCGTACCTGCCGGAAAAATAAATTGCCTATAAGTTCATCTTCTAATGAGCTCATAAGTATTTTTTCATTTATTTGCATTATTTTTACTTAACACTATTTTTGATAAACAAATATTTATCACTAAAAAAGTTCATCTTTGACCTTTAAATTTGATGTTCGGACTTAGGTTGAAAATAGTGCAATAAAATGCAGACAAGTCTTTGAACACAAATTTAAATATATTTATTATACTTAACTCCGAATATTTTATGTTATATACTTTTTTTTAGATAGAAAACGGAAAAATATTACCTACCAATCACTAGTTCATTACAAATTAAAAATTTTTTTAATTTAGTTTAAAACCCTTAATTCAAAGGTCAAACATTTTTAGTTATTATGATTCAGAATAACAAACAATAACACGTTTTGAACAACACGTGTTACCATTTTACACCTTAGATTCTTATTTTCGGAAATGAGCATTAAGTGTTAACTTAATTTGCTTAATTTTTTTATGTTAAACCGTAATTATATTTTATTTTAGTTTCTTAACAAAGGTTTTAGCTTCACACATTTCGCACAAAAGATTATTAGCTATTAAATGTGTAGGTATAAAAACTAATGCCCTGTTTCATAATAAACAACACATAAAAAACTGTCAGCGCAATTAATCGCTTTAATCGGTCAACGCGAGCATTTTGAATGACACAAAAAATGGTTGTAGTTTTTTAATAAATAAGTGTAGGCTTATAGATATTTTAGTTTATTGGTGTTTAAAGAATCTACTTTGAATCGATATAGACTACGTACTAATGACTCGATACTGTATATTGATATGATAAGATGATATATCACTATGGATGGCATTAAGTGTAGTGATCGAGAGGTAACGCAAAATAATGGGAACATTTAAAAAGTGTATTTATTTATTCGAATGCTTATTTATCTTTCGTCTCAAAATTTGGTATCAGATACTTTGTATGTTGAAGGCTCGATCGTCACGACTTTTTTACCACGCTCAGAGGTTTTTTGTTTGAAAAAATAAAGATAAAATAAAAATGCTTTCATTAATCAAGTTAGAAACAAAATAATATATATATTATTTTTTACTATTTTATTTTGTATATACACCATGCCATATTATGTTTCCTTTACAGTTCGTTTCTAACTTAATAAATGAAAAGCATTTTCATTTTTTATTTTCATATCATATATATAATTAAATAATTGCAGGGCTATTAACTACAATATTTGAATTGCGATGGAAAATATTTTATTTAACAAGAGTCATATTTGTTTTGTAAAAATTACATGTAAGCTTAATTTTAAATTCCAATATTCCGTGTAGCTCGTCAGTTTGGTGGCCAGAACTTTGGCAATGGCCTGGGCCCCGCCTTCGGAGGCGGGTCTGGATTCGGGCCGGGAATAGGACCCGGACTGGGCCCCGGATCCGTACCTGGAGCCTCGGGATATCCGGGACAGGGACTGGGACCGGGACCGGGCTACGGACCGCCGCAACAGCAGCCGGGTTGCCCGCTGTGCGACTCGTCGGTGTACACGTACTGCTCCCACAAGATGGTCCACGATGCCTGTTGCTGCGATTTTCCAGGTAATTAATCAAGGTCTTTGGCCCAAAGCCGTTTGGCGATATTATTCATGCACGGTTTTTAATCGCCTGCGTTTATTAATTTTATTCAATTTGGCGCCACCCGCAGCCTCCGTCGGCCCTCAACTGCGACCGCCCCAGTGTTTGTACTACGACTGCTCGCTGCTGTATGCCAAATCCTGCTACGAACACGCCCTCATCAAGAACTGCTGCTGCAATAATCCCTACTGACGACCATATATCGGAAAAACGGCCAGCCCAAGTGATTTGTTTGCCCTTCTGTTTAATTTATTTATTCAATCCATTTAAAATGCATGTGCGCTGCGGACAGCTCAATGTTTAAATCAAATTCATGCGATTGCTTAATGTAAGCGGACGCTAAATTAAATTAAGTAAATTATTTGAAAACCGAACGTTAGTTGTGTTGACATTGTCTACGGACTTTTTGGCGGAACACCAAAATGCGAATGGAAAATTGGCTTACCTGAGAATGCTTTTTTCAGGACTAATGTCACAGTAAGCTCACCATTATTACTAAAAAGGCATTACTAGTTAGAATGCAAACAATTACATTTATTTTATGCGGGCAACAATAATTGATTGCTTACATTTACCAATCAAAACGTACTTTTGACATGGACGAAAACATTTTTATTGTCGCAAAAACACTGCTTCGCCTTTAAAAACTTAAGAGAACGTCAGATAAATTAAAGAAAATTTAAAAATTCAAACACTACATTCTTTGTGTTAAGTTTTTGATTTTTTTGCTATACCTTTTACCTATAATACCTTGATAATACCTTAATAATATTTGGAAACGGGCTAATAGGTTCGTCAAATTAACCAACCACACATAGTTTTATTTGTTTCAAAAAATACTTGCTATTAAACTATTGTTAAACAAAACTAACAACATTAAACAGCTTTTAATTATTGTTTAATAGGCTTATCGAAATTGCCAGAGAAAAATTACATTGGCTGGTCAAACTTTAGCCATTGTTTGGTTTTCGTCATGATTAAATTTTTTCTAAGCCGTTAATTAAATACATTCTCCGCTGCGTCGCACATGGATAACTAACTTGTTCGCCGGATTATTCGGCATTAAAAATGTGTTCAATTAATTCATGGCTTTTGTTTTCATTTCACCTACTCGCTGCCTCATTTATCAATTGTCGTGTTTCGCTCCACTCCATGCTATTAGCATAATGAAGGTTTTCTCCCCAGATTAATTGATTTTTAATACGCAGCCATAATCGGCACACAAATACGCATCTACGGCGATATGTATGCAGATACTACAGATTTTTTTCATTATCTAATCCCAAATTATGTGGTTCCATAAATTATTAACGAAAAAATGACATAAATGTATTTATAAACAAGAGCCCGGCCATAAAGTATAAAACTTTCCATTTACACGCACATTTAAATGTAAATTAATTAGTTTGCGCGGCAAACACGGCAAATTGTGAATAAATCAGGGCCCAAGAAACCGAAACAAATAAACAAAAATACGATAATTTCTTCTTCGCCTTCACCCCCTCCGCCCCTCTTGAAATAAAAACAAATCCAGCTAAAAATCTCTGGAAATTTCGTTGCCGATTATTAGATGACAGCAACAAAAGCATTCAGAAGATAATAACAACAGCTCAAAACTTCTCTGGGTTCCTCTGCGTCGTCGCTTTCTTCAGCAGCCCCTTTCCATAAATCTAAAATTATAAAAATCTCTCGTAATCCACACAGCAAAAATTCAAATCCAAGGCGCGGCAAGAAATATTAGCATATTACATAAGAATTTTCACTTTCATTTAGTGTGACGAGGCCACCACTTCACCCCACTTCACCCCACTTCACCCCACTTCACTCCAGTTCCCTCGATTCCATTCCATTTGAGCCACTGCGATGACGAAGTCGAAGGCGAGTTGAGACCCCTCTCGTCGGCAAATACTTTTTGCTTGATTAGCATAAATCTCTATATTAAGTGGCTCGTCTTGCCGCACCCCCAATTTTTTGGAAATTCGGAAGGGTGGGGTGAGCGGAGGTCGACTGACAGGCGGCAAGGCCATTCAGCTTTCTCCACAGCCTTGCCACAGGGTATTATGGCATTACGACACTGGGTCCCCGCTTGCGACACCCGCCACTGGCCAGCTGTTTATTAAAGATTTGTATCCAACGATTTATGCCACACATCCGCTAATAGGTTTATCACCTAGTTTCAGCCAATTCCAGTGCGATGACTAATTAAGACTAAGCAGGCTGATCCGGGTTTCATTTCGATCACATTTCGGCCCAACTGTTGATTTTTATACCATCAAGTTCATCGTTCGAAAAATCAATGAGTTCAACTGGCAACTCAGAAAAGAAATAAATTATCATCTACCATTTATTTTGAAATGCTTATCGTTTTATTCATTGTATTTTAAACCAACATAATAATATTTTTGTTTTAATTATATCCAATGAAATTACCAAAATAAAACTGAATATTGCATGAACTTTAAGTAAGCCTACTTAAAAATATCAGGCTTACGGGTTAAATGCTTTACTTTAATTTTATAAAACATTTTAGGCCCTTTGCACAAAAAAAGTAAATGACTTTCTCAGGTAGGTCGCAAACAGCCTAACTCATAAATAATATTAATTAGGTAAAAAAATGTATTGGGCAAAAAATGTCCTATTAACTAGTGGTTAGGTATTACAAGCATCGTAACATTTCGACTGGACTCTTAAATAATGTTATTAATATATATATATATATATATATATTTAATATTTTATATAATATTTAGTCGGTGTACATTTTGTGTGCGCTTGTGATTATAAGATTATTTAAGAAATATTATACTTTGTTCATTGGTAATTCCGATTTCCATTTTAAATGTGAGAAAATATAATAAATTTGTAATTTTATTTTGTATAATTAAATTTTTTTTGTTAGGCGTTTGCAGGGCAGTAAGGGGTACATTTTTTATGTGCGCTTGTTATTGGATGATTATATAAGAAATATAAGATTTGGCTCATTGGCAATACGATTTCAATTTTAATTTGAGTAAATACATAATACATTTATTTTTCGCTCAAAATTTCTAATTCTTATTTGTATAATATAATGAAATAATTTTAGCTAAATGATGCAATTTCGACCCTATATTTCGGATTAACGTTTGGTGCCGACCTTCTTTAAAATTTAATAACTATTTATAATCTGTGTCCTTGTAGGGATTTCCTGTTTCGGCTGGATTTTGGGCAACATTTGGTAATTTGGCGTATTGGCGCAACAATTGTCCGGGCAATTGAGCGAATGGCCACGCCCAAACGCTTGCCGCATTGACAGTTATTGGGCGAAACAAAGTTGACTTTTTTCTGGCCAGTTTCGCGGGACGAGGACTGATTGGAGAGGTCCAGGGCAAAGGACGTGGTCGCGGCAGGGGCCTTCGAGATAATCACAAAAGTTTTGTAATAATTTCAATTTTTTCCGGCCACTTCCTCTCCTTCATCTGCGGTTCGGTTTGCCTCGGCACTGTGTGTTTCCTTTTTTCAGACTGGATTTTTTGCTTGCCGTTTGCACTTTTCTAACAATTTCGCTTCAAATGAAACCTTTAATGGATTTCAAAAGAAAAATTTATTTTGACAATGACAATGAATTTTCCTCCGCTATTCGCCTCTCGTGCACATTTCATTTTATTTATTCATCTTCAGCCCCTATTGTTGTTTCTGTTTTTTTTTTTATTGCCGTTCCAAAAGTTTTTAATGAGCGCGCGTTGAAATTTTATCTGTGTGCTCAACCCTCTGCGCTTTTCCTTTTTCCCACTGTTCCGCTTTACCGCTTTCCCGCTTTTCCCGTCCCTTCCACCATTCTTTAGTTTCAGTTCGGTTTCGTTTCGGATTTTTGTTGCCTTCTTTATGAAGTAAAAACTCGGGACACGTTTACTTCATCAAATGCGCTTAATTAGAATTAGCATTGGAATGTGGCTCTGCTGGGGAATTTGGCTCATTGCCGAGGCGAAAAACACGGAGCCCCAGGAAAGGCGAATGATTCGGCATTGAAGTATGTCCAACTGGGTAACTGGGTAACTGGGTATGAAAAGCGGAATTCAGGTGGAGTCGCAGATGGAAGCTTTCTCTCGGACCAAGCGAAAAATTTCACAAATTTTCGGAAAATGTCAAAGGGCTCCAATCCCGAGGGCAGAAATGCGATTGCGATTGCGAGTGCCGGGCGAAACAATAACAGCAATATTTGGACAGGGATCTGATGCAGAAAATTTGTTGAACAAGGTGCTGTGGGTAATGGCACTGAAGTGGATTTAACTTGACCGAAGGATAGCAAAATCAAGGAAACTGGATACAAATTTAGACCTCTGGAAACTGATTTCATTTGCTAAGGGTCACTTTTGGCCGGACTGTGGAGAGATTTGCAGTATATTGACTAAGTAATGAGCGCATGCATGAGCACACGGAAATGTACAACCCAAATTAATATCCGGATGTCAAATGTAATTTTCAAAAACAATACAATCATCTGAACAATAGCGAAATTAAATTGACATATATTTGTATTATATCACTTAAAGAGCAAAATACATATGCAACGAATATAGTAACAAGCATAAACTAACAAAACAAAATTAAAAATTGTACTTTTTAAAATAAAAAGAACGGAAAGCAAACAAAACAAAATTTGAAAATTTTATTGAAAATTTTCTTAAAACAAAAGGAACAATTAAACTTAAAAGTTAAAAAATAAATAATAATTAAAACAAGTGTAACAAAATATTATTTCGTTCAGGACATGGAAAACTTATAAAAAGTAAAGTTGATTTACAGTATGCCGAATTAGTAGGTTGCAGCTTAAAAATTTATATATTTTGAATGTTTTATTTATTATAAGGAAAACAATTATTTGTTATAACGGCATTTGTTAAAACAAAGCTTTTATCTGGATAAGTTAAGGTAAAAAGAAATGAATCAGTTGTTAAAAATATAAAAATATAACATTATACAATTATTATAAATCACACAAGAAGCAATTTAAAAATCATATCATTGATAAAAACTCTTATATTCTGGTGGAAAATAAAATACACGTGTTTGTAATATAAAGAAAATACCCCAGGATAATTAAAATGCTTTTACAATAATTTTAGAGCTGCATTTTGGTCGATTATGCAATTGACTCGGCACCAAAGATTTGGCGTTCCATTTCCAAAGACTTCCGACTGCTTTCTCTGTCGATTACGAGGGAAGTATATTGGACATCAGACATCACATCGTAATCATCTTCAATAAGCAGACACCGCAAATGATGTTATGCAACCCCATCGAGCAATTACAGGCCCACGCACTCTCATTCGCCCCAAAAAGTAAATAAACATTTGAAAACAAATTATGCTTGCGTCTGTGCAATTTGACAA